TGTTAGCAATGCACTTATTCCAGCGATGTTCTAGCTTTTTTATGCCATCACAATAGGTCGATTTGTCAAGGTGTGCAAAATACTCGTTCACTTCAGAGATGACTTCGTCATTTGAGTGGAATCTCTTTCCAGCCAAGAATTTTTTTAGGTTTGGAAAAAGGTGGAAGACACTGGGGGCCAAATCAGTACGGTGGATGTGGAACTAATTGGAAGCGAAGTTCGTTTATCTTTTGTTCAGTGATTCTGGCGGAATGTGCAGGTGCATTATCGTGGTGGAACAGAACCCTTTTCTTCGATTTCTTTCTTCAATTTTTCCAAAAGTTCACACTAATAGACAGCATTAATGGTCTTTCCTCTTTCTAGGTAGTCAATAAAGATGATGCCTTTAACATCCCCAAAAACGGGCCATCACTTTCCCCGCTGAAGGAACTGTCTTTGCCTTCTTTGGTGGTGGCGAACTGTGGTATTTCCATTGCTTCGACTGTTCTTTTGTTTCTGGAGTGTAGTAATGGATCCACGTTTCGTCAGTAGTCACAAACTGATGCAAGAAATCCTGTGGGTTTTTCTGGTAGAAGTCCAAACACTCCTTTGACATCAAAGTGCAAACACGTTTTTGCTCAGCAGTCAGCAGACACGACACCCACCTTGCTGAGACCTTCGTCATACCCAAATTTTCGGTTAGGATGTGGTGCACTCGGTCGATAGAGATGCATATTGTCTCAGCTATCTCACGCGTTTTCAAACGGCAATCTGATAATAACCAAATCGTGAACTTTGTCGATATTTTCTTCAGTGACAGCAGTTGACGGCGTCTGCTGCGAGGGTCATCTTCCACACTCTCTGCCAGATGGGCTGTCCATTTTTTCACAGTGGTGTACGAAGGAGCAGACTCTCCCAAAACTTCATCCATGTCAGCTTTGATTTGAGATGGGGTCAACCCTTTTTTCGAGGTATTTTATGACCGCACGACGTCGTCTCCATTTTTGACAAAGCATGTGCACACTGACTATCTGCTAAGCTGTCGTGGCAAAACTTTATGACAAATCAAGCGGAAATTGATATCGTATCTCTAGCAAAGATGGCTGAATTATTCCCGCCAAAAATTAAATTGATCGCAGCGTCGCATATAGGCAAGGCCGCGAACTTTCCGAACAGCCCTCGTACAACGAGCGTTCTTAACAGAAACGGCCAAATTGTAGCCAAATTCAAAACTCCACCACTCATCGAGATCAAAAAATAAAAATAAGAATATTACGTAAGACGAGATCTATTACCCCCTACCCCTGAGTAAGAAACCCTTGACTCCCACCCAACCCAAAATATCTTACGTAAATTATGGACGGCCCCTAAATTTTGAAATTAAA